CTGGGGCTTCCTCAGGGTTTGGAGGTGTCACGGCGAGGTTCTCCTGCACCCTGTCCCCTCCACCCACCAGCCCGCAGCCGCAGGACCAGAGCTTCAAACCACAGCCCGCCTCGATTCCTCTCTCAGATCGCGACTAACAACATCTCTGTACGTTTTCAGCCATCAAGGAAACGGGGTGATTTCACCAACCTTAGAGTGTTTTGGAGCAAGCAGGAGACTTCCTCTGCGCAGGTTACGAACCCAACAGCAGGACGGCATGTCCGCAGCCATCCGTTCACCCGCTGCCCAGAAAGAGAGAGATTTCCAACGGAGGAACAAGACGTTCTGACCGCCTCGCCAAAACCTGGCGTGATTTATCCCGTACTGCTCGGCCCGTGGTGAAGTCCTGCTTATGTGCAAACCTCTGCAGAGCCTTGCCACGCTAACGCTCCTCGTTTTCAAGAAGGGTTGTCAGCAGCGTTACCTGCGGTCCCTCCCGAAGTCATAGGGAAGGTGGTGAAGGAGACGGGGGGGTATTTCTGCAGATCTTTTTCTAGCCTTGCAATGAAATAAGAATTAAAATACTGATGATTGTAAAAACTCCTCAGCTCTGCAAGAAGTACTTTCCTTGGGAAATAGTGAGAAAAAGAAGAGGAGAAGAATTCCGGCTATGAAATGAAATCTTTGAGACAGTAATCTCTTTCCGAGAAAGTACAATGTGATGATGTTACATATTTCGGTCATGGTAAGCTTCAAAATTAAGATTTTTAACCAAGATATTTTCATGTAAAACCAACAACAGGGTAAGGGAAAAATCACTCCAGTGATCACTCCAATGCCAACAACACATGAAATGCTTGTTATCCAGTAGTATTTCGTGCTGTTGAGCAATTTCGTCGTTACGAAAAAATATCATTAAAGTAGAAAAGTGATCTGAAATGTCTCCTGCGAGGAGCACCGTGAGCTGGCTGAGAATTGGGAATATTTGCAACAGAAGAAGAAAAGTTGCTGGAAAAGGACTTCCTGCCCCTAAAACTCTGAAGACACCCAGGTCTGCAGGTGTCCGTAGGGAAAACCGCCCCCTCTCCATCAGCCAGCACCGTCACTGGAAAATCCCTTGGGGAGAGGTGGCTGAAGACAATTCTAAAGGGACAGGTCCACGCGAGTAACCGAGCTGAAGCCTTTCTGTGCATGCATCACACCTGTTTATTATCGGAATGCCTCCTTTAATTGTCTTTTTTTTTTAATGCAGATAGTTAGATCTGAGTGCTGCTGAGTTCTAGGGTGCCGGTGCTGGGCGGTGCTGGAGGGCTGAGCCCCCCTTTTCAGCCTTGGCCCGACTTGGCGAAAGACCTGCTGGACCCCACGCTCGGAAACGGAACACGGATGCTTCGCTCGAGCCACGCAGGGGACTCAGCGGCAGGCGCGCTGCCTTTTCGACTCCCTGTGCCGTAGCTGCTCCGCTCGCTTGCAGGGAGGACCCAACAGGTGCATTCTCTGAACAGACACAGATTTTTCTGCCTAAAAGCAGCGGCGAAGCCTGCAGAGCTCCAGTGCCCTGAATGGAACAGCGCAGCGCATCCCCCAGGCCCTCTCCGGAGAGCTCGCTCCACTACTACGGAAGCTGGAATCGGGGATAAACATCCCTATATATGCCCCTATCTGGTGCTCTAAATTTAAGTCTGATACATCCCAAGCTGCTGCCCGTAATTTCTGCTGACACCTTCTCAAAGCCAGGCAGAAAGAAGACCAGGCTCCAGCAACCAGGCTGTTCCCCCTCCCCACGCAGGGCAACGCTGGGGTGGTGCCAAGCTCATATGGCATGCGGGAAGACAAAAATACCCGACAAAACAAGCATCCGTGGAGCACTCTGCACCTCTGCCTCTCTGCCTGGACACCAGTGGGGCAGGAAAACCAAACCATCTCTGCGGAGCGGCATCTCCTCGCAAAGGCTGTGCTGGGAAAACATGACCTCCGTTTTGTGGGACAGCACAAACGGGACGAGCTTGGGAGCTTTGGGTTATGGGTTTTTTAGTTTAAAAAGCATTTCAAAACCCAATGCTAATGTAAACACCTTGTCTTTCAAATGAAATATAAAGTAAAATATCTATGTTCTGGTAATATTTACATTATAAAATCCTTATTTTCAGGACTATGACATAGATCTCTCTTGGAAGCATGAGTTTATAACAATTGTACACAGCATGAACCAATTATGCAAAAACTGATTCTTAGATTTTGCCCTATATTCCTAAGTTGGAAAGGGGTAGGTTACACCGTTTATACACACTTCCATTTCAGGGGAATTAACCGAGCTGAACACTCCGTCCAGGAGTACTGGCAAGTCTGCTTTCAAAAACTGTGAAGATGTATGGAGTTGCATCACTGAATTGTGCTTTATCTTCCGTGTTGATACACACACCTCCACCACCCCGTCACACGTATCTCAGTCTGGGAGTCATCCCAGAACAGAAATCCTACTGGATTTTCTTACTTTCTTTTCAGACGGGCATGGATGTCTGTTTTCTTACGTCACTCCGAACTGCTCTGTGAGCAGGCGCTTCCCAACATGCACAAAGTTTTCCAACACGAATGCACAAGCCTAATCCTGGCAACGTTTGCGACTGTAAAATTAGCACTACCTGTCATCTCACACGTTTCTGAAGTCCCCAGCACCCCGTTCAGTGGATGCTCCTGGGCTTCTCTGTGCATCTCAAGAGCAGCTGCATTTAATTCTGAAAAGATCCCTTCGTATTTCCCCTTATCGACAAATTCTCCCGTTAAAACCGGCTCTCCGCCTCGGCAGCTGCCGCACCGTTAATGCCACGCACGACGTTAATGCCAGCGTGTTGCCAGCGGCGGGCTGAGACTAACGTCAAGAAGAAACAAAAGGCTGTGCAGGCGATGCACGGAGAGGAGCAACACGCCACGGTAGCTGGCACCCATGGCTCCGAGCCCATGGCGGCTCGGGGAAAACACAGAGGGACAATTTTTCCCCCGCCGCAGCCTCCGGTTTAGCACTTTTATGTATATTCCCCTCTGCACGAGATAGCTGCTCCTGATGCCAGTGAGGTGGGCTCCTGCCCCACAGGCTGTTGGTAGCCCCCGGTGCTGCCCCTGCTTCCCTGGCACAGATCCTGGCCCCCGCTGGTGCTGGGTGTCCTGCCATGGGCTGCTTTTGTTTTCCAGTTATGCTTTCCTGCCTAAGTGGTAAAATGAAGAGGCATGGTGGGGGCTACATGCCTTTAAAGCATTTTCTAAACCCATAAGGCTTTCAAAAATGGGGAGAAAAGCCAGAAGAAGCAAGCAAAAGAACGTAGAAATACGACCGGAAATCTGGAGGAGACTGCTTGGAAAATGTGTCCTTAAAAACAGCAATAATTTACAAGCAGTCCTGTAAGCTCTGATTTTCTACCCAAACTGGTAGCCTGCCTAATTCCTGGTCTGCCTCTCTGCACAATGGAAGGGCACAGGGTAAAGAGAAGCGCTCGTTGCCCGGGCACGCGCTGTTGGGACTCCTGACCGTTACTCTGCGGCTGTAAGAGAGCAAGGACGGGTTCATAGAATCATAGAGTCACAGAATGGGTTGGGGTGGAAGGGACCTCAAAGATCATCCAGTTCCAACCCCCCTGCCATGGGCAGGGACACCCTCCACTACACCAGGTTGCCCAAAGCCTCATCCAACCTGGCCTTGAACACCTCCAGGGATGGGGCAGCCACAACTTCTCTGGGTTCACGGAGGTTCCTTGCACAGCAAATTTGACATAAATACTCTTTACAGAAGTGGCTTTTTTTTTTTTCTCCCCCTGCTTTTTGCTGGCAGACTGTATTAGGAACCTCCACGTTCACCGAAATCTTTTTTTCTGGAGTTAAAGCAGCTAAACCTGAAGACAGAGCTTTTCATTCCTCACCGTGAGATGTACTAAGGACTGAAGAAAAAGTAACTCAGCGTGTGGGTTCTACGTAACTCTGTAGGAGGCACCCCCTTCGTAACAGCTATCAGTATCGTATTTAAATCGTATATATTGACAAAATGTAATCTACCTCTGTAAGCATTGTGCCATTCAACAGTACTACTATTAAATTTATATACCACAGTTTAAATTACATCCATTTCATGAATGGTAAAATGCTAAAACTCAAGTGTCTACCTGCCAAAATACAGCCTTACTGGAATGAGTACAATTTACAAATACAATAATTACATTTTAAAACCATTAACAATGTTACATCTAGAAGTAAATACTGTAGGACTGGTCAAGACGGTGTTTTCCAAGGAAAAAAACGCTGAAAGTTGTCGACACTTCCAACAGAAATGTCCCGAGTGCAGGATTTAGTTCATTTTTCCTTAAACTGTAATTAAAACCCGTTCCACGCGCAGCAGTCCTTGGGTATTTTCCATAGTATTTTTCATAGACTTGCATAAGCTTCCATCAGTTATCGGCCAAGTATTTACCTAGAAATGGGATCAGAAATCAGCTGCGGGGAGGGAGCAGCCCCGATTCCCGGGGGATGGCCGCCCGCCTCCGCCGGCCCCCGCATCCACGGCCGTGCTGCTGCCACGCACGAGCGGCACACGGAAAAAAACTTGTCTTTCTCTGCAGCAAGGGGGCAAAAATGAAAAAATCGTGTCTTTCTCTGCAGCAATGGGGCAAAATAAAAAATTTGTGTCTTTCTCTGCAGCAATGGGGCAAAAATAAAAAATTCATTGTCTTTCTCTGCAGCAATGGGGCAAAAGCTCTTCCTGGAGATCCCCAGACCTTGCCTTTCGTGCAGGATCCGTGGGCAGGAAAAAGCCCATGAAATTCACGGCTCTCGTAAGTGGCAGCAGGATTTATTTCATGCAAAGGAGCTTTGCCCCTCTGCTGCCAGCCAGCCCGGTCTCACTGTGCTGCCGTGGGACCTCCGGGCTTGAATGGCCAACATATATACATTGAGGGCAGTGCCAGGCATGCCAGCACGGCTGGAAGGCCGATCAGGGACACAGCCATGCCC